GTACGTAGAAGGGAGGCCCCATAGCACCGTCGACGTGTGCATGTTTAAAGGGGGGGGGGGGGTGGTGGGGTGGTGAGTACAACGCAGAAAGACAATGCCCCTAATTATGATTTTCAGACAATGCCCCTGACGAGCAGGCAGCGGACTGATTCCGAGAGTCGTTTTCGTCGCTCTGCCTCTCTCGCACTCGTGGCGCGTCGCGCTGAGGTGCGAGAGAGACAGAGCGACTCTCGGAATCAGTCTGCTGCCTGCTTCCCCTTTGACCAGGCTACTCAGTTCCCCTCCTTCCTTCCTTCAGCCCTGCCTGACCCCCTACCCCCTCTTTCCCAGGTCATGCCCCCTACCCCCCACCCCCTTTTCCCGTGCAGTATTTTATCCAACCCGTGAAGGACCCCCTTTGTTGGCGCGGGTAATGTCATTTCGAAATTGACGAGGACAGAATCGAGTCGAAGTCGGATGCCTAGTGCGGCGCACAGTGGGCCAGAAGACCGGTGGAGGCGGCCGAAATTCTAGATGCGTTTTGAGCTCCAGAGTCGCTAAATGGGACTCGAACCCAACGTGTGACCCCACCAATACATTCCTCGCTCAGAGAGCAATCCATTGGTGGGGTCACACGTTCGGTTCGAGCCCCATCTAGCGACTATGAAGCTCAAAACGTAACCGGGATTTTGGCCGCTTCCACCGGTCTTCTGGCCCACCGGGCAGCGGCAGTATCGTTGTTGCAGACGACAAAAATTACACTACTAAGGCACCGTAGGGAACGACAAAGACAGGAAAATATCAAAAAAAGGAAAACAAACAAAAATAATAAAACGGAAATGACAAAAGTCGATCAATGTATCAAGTCTAACCATCAAAAACTCATATCCTAATATTTTTTTTAAAATTGCCATGCCTATTTGATCCAGGAAGCGGAAGAAGGGAATAACTTGACTTATCCCCAAATTGAGTTTTTATTTTATTATTGTGCCTTAGAATGGTTTCCATCATTACACCAAATTATTTGACTGAATTCCAAGCAGTTTAGGAGAAAATCCACATGGAAAAAGGGTATAACTCAACTTAACCCCTTTTACGGTCTAAATTTTATTGGAAAATGGAGATAACTCAACGGAAGTCCACATGAATCCGTTTGACAAATTGGCAAAAGGATATAACTCAACTAAATTTTTTTTATGAAACTAGTGTAAAAAAATCAACTCAACTTAACCCCCCCCTTTAAATTTTTAAAATTTTAATTTGGAAAAAAGAGCCAAGTCCAAAAAATACACCAGAGTAACATACACTTTATGCAGACTTTTGTTCCACTTGACTTGTCTCCAAATTCCTCTTTGTTTAGGAAATATAAGGTGAGCTGACTCTGTTTTCCATTTCAACGGAAAGTGATAAGTCGCAGAAATCCTCTACGGAGTGACCTTACACTAATGATTTTTTTTCCCAAAAATTTTTCTAATGCTTTTTTATATTTTAAAATCTGCAACATTCATTTGTTTTGTTTTAGTTTTCCCTGCTAACAGTTTTTTGTTTCTCCTGAAAAATGGCCAAAATTGAGTTATCCCCTTCTTCCGCTTCCTGGATCATTTAGAGTACAATGATATGAGCAAGGGTCCGAAGGTAGCTGTTGATGTAAAAATGGATAAAGAGAATTCTTACGAAATTTGTGCACGAAAGTATTGACGTATTTGGGTTCCAGTACACTCTCAGACTCGTATTGACTTTTTATCTCTTACCATAAAGTTTTTTGTGCAAACGTAATATGTACTTTTTTCTCTTTAGCTATGCACAATTTTGTTCATTGTAAAATTTATATAGTCCATTAAACCTGATTTTTTTTTGTCATTTGCAATGTACTCTAGACGATCTATTGACATTTTTATCTTTTAAACGATCAAAATTGTGCACAGTTAAGGAGAAAATAGTACATTTGATCCGGGAAGCGGAAGAAGGGGTTAAGTCGAGTTGATTCAGTGACCTCTTATCAGTCAATCAAGTAAACATGAGCAAACATTTGGTCCAAAAATAAGTGTGGTGAGAAAAGTCCCATACTCTCGCATCTATTTTTACATGACATTCCCCACCCGTTCTCCCACCTGCAAGGTTTAGGCTTTTCAAAAGTGCACGGTTTCAACTCGACTTACCTCCTTCTTCCGCTTCCTGGATCATTTACGTTGGCTCAAAAAACTCTATAAGCAAGAGCGAAAATAGTCCATATAGGTCTGAGAGTGTACTCTCAAGCACAAAATCCATAGAGATTTGGTGTCGCACGAAAGCTCGCAAAACAGGAAAGTGCAACGGAATGCAGCTCGGCAGGGCTTACAGTGTTGCAGGGCGCTTGCTCGGCTTGCAGTGCGATGTAACGTACTGCCCTCATTTCCCCGACGGGCTGTGCATTACGCGAAGGTGCGCCGCCTCGGCGTGCCTTTCCGTCGGCATTTTTAATCAAAAACAACAACATCAAGAGCAACAACAGGCAGACAGCGGATACACACGCGAAATGAGATAAAACAATGTTGTCCCAGGAGTTGTCGCCTCCCTCACTCATGGCGGCCACGGTTGCGCAACACGGTAAAAACTGTTCCTGGTTTCCCAAGGAAGCCTTGGTAGATTGGCGATTTCCAGTGAGTTCCTAGGAACACCAGGTACCGCTTTGAGCTTTCCAAATTAGTTTCCTACTCTTGCGAGAAGATTTTTACATAAGACCAGAAAATTTGACACGAAGCTTACTTATGACAACGTCAGGATTTGGGTTGCCATTGCCATTTGACAGCAACGGCAGGCGGCACACTGAGAAAATTTGTTGTCACTTTATGACAAAAACGTGGATGGCATTTTCATCACTTTAAAATAAAGGCATTTTCATAGAAGCTCCTATACTTATTGCATGGGCATGACAACAACACTGTTAAAAAAATCAGTTGTCATTTTCATAAAATTGGTTGCCATTTTTTTACAAACAATTGTTATGAAAATTAACATCACAAACGATTGAAAATTGTTTTACAATCACGTTATGAAAATTCATATCATGTTATGAAAATTTATATCCGCGTTTGCGAGGTCATTTTAGAGTCGTTAAGCAAAAGGACAACTTGGTGTTCATGTATATGAACACCTGTCCGGCCTTATGCCATTTTTGGGACCGACTCTTCTTTTGATCAGCGGGTTTCGGACCCGGGATCTCTGACTTTTGGTGCACGCTCTTTACGGCTGTGCTACCACGTCCCACGTGAGGCGGAGGGTCAGCTACCTGATGACTCTACACGCGCCCCTTGGCCACGCCTCCTGAGCCAGTAATGAAACTTACAATCGTATTCGGAAAATTACGATTGTGTGCTCATAATCAACATTTAAGATTCGCAATTTTCAAAACATGATTTGAAAATTACCAACAATTGCCAATTTTACGACTTTGTTTTGAATTTTCGCATCAAGTTATGAAATTTGTGATGTTTGCAAAATTCATATCCGTGTTCGAAAAATTGTCATCAAAATTGCTTTGAAAATCCGTAATTTTTTTAACAGTGATGTCACCAATTGATGACATCCTTGTAAGGAAAATTAGCCTTGAAATTGCCATCAAGTGACGACTCAAATTTTTACAGTGCAGCAGTAAAGGCGGCCACTCATTGCGGAGATCTTGGTTTCGCAGTGTCCCCGCAGGCTAGCGCAAGGGAAGGATGCCTCGTCCCAACGTCGGCGGCAGGCCGGCAGGACGCTGGATGCGCCGTTCCGTGATCGGATGAGGCTGCACCGTCGCGGGGATTGAGAGATGAGGGGCACTGAATAAATTTCCGAGAAGCCGATCCCTTCTGAGGCCGTGGATATAAAATTGGGGAGGGGGAGCATCAGAGTGCGACAAAACCGAGGAGAGGGAAAGGGGGAAGAGATTTTGATGCTAAACGAGAGGCGGCGGAAAGACCGAGGGGGAGGGGGAGGAAGGAAGAGGGGAGGGGGGGGAAGAGGGGGGGGGAGGGGGGAGAAGAGGGGGGGGGGGGGGGAAGAGGGAGGGGGGGGGGGGGAGAAGAGGGGGGGGAGGGGGGAGAAGAGGGGGGGGGGAGGGGGAGGAAGCGAAGGGGGAGGGCAGGCAAGGCATGCGGTAGTGAAACGGTGAGTCGGATAGAATAGCTGCAAAGGATTCTAACAGGTACTATTGGAGACCCTGAGCCGGAACCCATGTAGACCCATATGATACGGAGTCTCTCGCCGGTTCTCATGGTGAAAGCATGCCGTTGTGAACGAAAATTGTGTCGTCCAAAACATTCTCTGCATTCCAGACTGCGTAACTTTCATTAGAGTACTCGTGCCCCTTACCGGTCGACGCGAAACACAATCTGTCTTCAAACGGAAGTTTCCACCGGAGCGTGAGCGCATGCGCTACTACCCACCCGGCTTTCCTTCGCATTCAACTGCTGTCTTTGGATGTGCGTTAACACTTTGATGGCACCTTGCTCCCTTCGTACTTCTGTTTGAGGATTCATCGAAATACTCTTCTTACGTTCGTTCCTGTCAGGAATCCCATTGTGACGAGCACCAACCAGCGCAGGAGCGTCAAATCACCAACGGCCGTCACGAAACACCACGGAAGGAGGACCGGAACCATCGTGGAGGAACCCGTGGACACACGACGCGCCCATCGAAAGCTTCCAAACTTCACAGAGAGGTAAGTCCCGTGGAATGTGATGTTCAACGCAACTCACGCGAAAGGGTGTTTCAGAGTAGGTCTCGGCCGGAAGTCAAGAGCCGCGATCTTGGCTGGAAACTCATTTACAACGAGCTGCTTTGGAGGCGTAACAGCCCCTATGTTCTACAATTTGGTCAATCCTGTGCCAAATTGCGCCAAGATACTGTTTTTCCGTTACAGGGCAGGTCTTGGCTTCCGCTGCAGGCGTGCTCTCAAATACCCTATAAACGCCACGTTGGAGCATGGGTGGTGTAACATCTCTTGGCGTAACGCGACGTTACAGCTTCGAGTATTTCCTTTCGGATAACCTGACTCAACACTGCACTGCACTGGTAAAACTGAAGCGTAGTATTACCCTCCGTTTTTAAGCGTTATTAGGTTACTCTTGAAATCAAGCGTACACCGTTAAAAATAATCGTAACTTTACGACATTTCGTAGGACGATTATGTCGTTTTTAAAAGACATATTTTGTTACGACTCAAGTCGTAAATACACGACTTGAGTCGTAAATTTACGACAGGTTTGTCGCTAATTTTGATAGCGAGACGTTCCGTTTTGAAACGAATTAAGTCGTAAATTTACAACTTAATCGTAAGTTTACGAACGATCGTAATTTATCTTTGGAATATGTCGTGCAGTTATGACTTCAGTCGTACATTTACGAATCTTGTCGTAAATTTGTGTGATGAATCATAAATGAACGTCACAAATCGTAAATAAACGAGCCAAATTGCAACTTTTTATCAAGTTTTCGGGTATTTCAGATTTCAAAGTATGCAATCGCGATTACGACATTGTCGTAGAGAAATGATTTTTTAGTTGTTCAGTTACGACGATGTAATTTGAGAACGATTTCTATCGCTATGAAAATTAGCGACGTTTTTGTCGCTAATTTACGACAAAATTTCTGACAGTGTAACAGGCTCATCCCCCAAGATTCCCCGTATTCATGGGGGAATTTCCAGACTATGCTTCATTTCTAGAGTTATGTCTTCCAGCGTAACTTTATGCTTGACTCAAGCATAGAGTTACGCTTTGATTTTACCACACTGATGCAAGCATGACTTAAAAGTTCCCCATGCATTTTGGTTTTCTTATTTTTTTTTTTTTATTTTTGGGGGGGGGGGGGGGGGGGGCGACTTGGCGGATGAACATGCTACGTTTGATTTTAATCACGCTCGTGAAAAAAAGAACGCATAGTTAAGGGGGGAGACTCGTCATTCTACGTCAAAAAATCAGATTTGCGTTTTTGATTTTTTTGAATTCTTTGTGTCAAACCCTTGAAATTGGTGGCTGGCTGGTTTGAATTTCAAACCGTTTGGCCATGGGCTGACTTTTTGTAATTTTTTTTCCCAAAGGAAAGGTTAGACCGTTCGAACTTTGAAGCCATTTTACTCAATTGCAATATTTTGGGTCCTGCGCGCACGATTTGAGCCAGACCGTTGATTGTTTCGACTCAATAATTTTTCCCATGTTTTGCCCTATAAGGCCGTCACTCTGAAATAGGGTATCTTCAATCGGACCAGTAGAAGTGCCCGATAAAAATTATTGAAATTCTAAATTTAAAGGCTTTTTTTTTTACACTTAAAAAATTTAAAATTTTAGGCACTTAGGAACCAGGTATTTCAATCATTCTAGTTCAATCTAGAGTGCCAGGAGTCTTCTTGAGGGGGCAAAAGACATTTATGATAGATGCCGCTTCTCAAAAACATGCGCGCAGTGAATTTTTTGGCGCAATTTTAGTGGTTTAGTAGAAAGACACAGATTTTAGGTCTAGGGCCGAGGCAAACTTTTTTTTTCAAAAACAAATTAAAGAACCAGCTTTTTTTTGGAAACCCCACTAAGGGGGAGTGGGGCACCTCCTGCCAGGGGGACCTCCTGCCAAAGTGCCGTGGGGGGCAAACCACTCGCACCGTTGAGCAGCCAATTTGGTTAAATCAAGGTATGACCATATGCACCTAAAAGCCAAAAATGGTTACGGTCGATTAAAAATTTTAACCCCAGTGAGAAATCAAACTTTAAAAGATAAGATTTCGAGCACTTTTCTGACATTTTGACTATAATGTGTCCTCTGACAGTCACTTCTAAGGTTCGGGTATCAAAAAATGGTTTTTCGGGTCCGATAGTTGGTTTTTTTATGAGCATTTTGCAACATTGGGATGACATCAGCGCTGAAACCGAAAAAGTGCTGAGGACAATTTTCTCTCATGCATGGCGGGGGGCCCTACTGCCACTTTTGGCGGGGCAGGTACTGTCACCTTAAAATCCCTTAATTGGAAAAAAAATTTCATGCCAGACGGGTTCATGTTTAGTTGAGGGCACCAGTATGTTTTGGGGGAACGAGTAACGTGAATATGAGTGGGATAATACCTGTTTTGACATTGCAACAGTTTTGATTTTCAAATAACCACTTTTGGGGTTGACCTTTCTCCGCAGCACCACTGAGGATATGTTTGAACAGCTCCAATCGACGAGAAGCTCGTCTTTTTTTGACCAGTAATGATTTTATCACCATAAAATGATCAATTGGCCACAAAATTTATGATCAAGGGCCATCCACTCTCCCAGGGAATGCTCGCCCCGCCCCCTTTGGGAGGAGGTGCCCCTGTCCCTGGGAGTAGGTGCCCCGGGCCGGGGCACCTACTGCCAAATTTCAGAGGTGCTTAGAGTAGGAGATAACTCTACAAACGTGACATATTTTAGTTTCTATCAACGGGGTTTTTGTAGATTAAGGACCAAAGAAGTTTTCTGACTACACATATTCGTCACCAAGTAGAAACTACGCAAACCATAGACAAAATCCAAAAAGTGGCAGGAGGTGCCCCACTCTCCCTTAACCTTCAAATCTATTGGAAACATTTTTTTTTTAAGCCTGAAATTTGTTAAAAAATTTGTGTTAAAGACGAGTCTTCCCCCTTAAGGGGGCCAAAATGACTTTTAGGTCTGGTACCCCAAAATTTGGGTTCCATGGTCCAATTTTCGGGCCCGTACCCTTATATTTTGGTCTTCATTGGGTTCCGGACCCAAACGTATGGGTCCTCATTTGGGCCCGATCCCAACTGCATGGGCTATCCCTCTTGGGTCCGGACCTAAATGGTCGATCTTCTGGACTTCCGGATTCGTCAACCTTGCTTCGAGTTTAAGTGTCCAATGAAATAACCTGCTCTCAGTGGAATCGATTCTCAAAGGAGGAACCGCTTCTGCGCAATGCGCAGACGTCCTCACTCTGTTCTTGAAACCTCACCCATGCGTTGTGCATTGCACGATTAAAAACGGAATTTAGTTTTCCGAAGAAGCCTTGGGTAGAGACATAGGCGATGTCCAGGGAATTCCTGGGAAAACCAGGAATTGTTTTTTCCGTGTGCGGTTTCTAAAAGTGTGCTGTCCGGCATGTCCAACACTGTTGGAAAAACCGAAAATTTTTACACTTGAATTTTCGGCTAGAACCTTTTGTGATTCGAGACCCAGTATTTTCTGTGATTTTAGATCCAGGCTTTGGAAAACAACAGAAAAGGCCTGGATTTGAAACCACGGAAAATCCTTGGTCTCAAATCACGAAAAGTTCTAGCAATGAATGTCCCTTGTTCTCTACAGCGAATGTTAAGCCACCGTGGTGACGCCCAATTAACATTTTAGTTCTTTGCAATACAGCAATTTTTAGCAGTTTGCAACTGCCTCATAGCGCTAATTCAGGGTATTTTTGGTTTAAATTAAATTACAAGGTTCTTATTCTCTTTGCTTGCAGTGACTTCCAACGCGCGTGACAAGTAACTGAAACCATGGCGGGGAATTCCTGGGAGTGCCTAGTCCATCATATAGATGGGCTGTTCGAGTGCGCAGTTTGCAAAAAGCAGCTCACTCATAGAAGTTTCCTCAATGGACATATCAGAATTCATACAGGGGAGAAGCCTTTCGAGTGCGTAGTTTGCAACAAGACGTTTAATCGAGGTAGTCACCTTCGATCTCATCTAATAACTCATACAGGAGAGAAGCCATTCGAGTGCACAATTTGCTGTAAGAAGTTCAGTAGAAGTGGCACACTCCGAATACATCTTAGAACCCACACAGGGGAGAAGTCATTCGAGTGCGCAGTTTGCAATAAGAAGTTCAACAAAACTGGTAACCTTCAAACTCATCTTAGAACTCATACTGGAGAGAAGCCTTACGAGTGCGCAGTTTGCAACAAGAAGTTCAATCAAGCCGGTAACCTTCGATCTCATGTCAGAACTCATACAGGGGAGAAGCCAGTCGAGTGCACAGTCTGCAAAGGGAAGTTCAGTAGTTTACGTAATCTCCAAGCTCATCTTAATACCCACACAGGGGAGAAGCCTTTCGAGTGTTCAGATTGCAACAAGAAGTTTAGTTCTACACAAGGTCTCAGATATCATCTAAGAACCCATTTAGGGGAGAAGCCATTCGAGTGCACAGTTTGCAAAAGGAAGTTAAGTAGTTTACAAAATCTCCGATCTCATCTTTATACCCACACAGGGTACAAGCCTTTCGAGTGCTCAGTTTGCAACAAGATGTTTCGTCGAGCTAGAGATGTTCGAATTCATCTTAGAACCCACACGGGAGAGACGCTCGAATGTACAGTTTGCAGAAAGAAATTTAGTCGAGAAGACAGTCTTAAAACCCATCTTAAAACCCACACATCGAAGGAAAAAGAAGCGGAGTGAAGCAGATATCCTTTGGAAACATCTGTGAAGTCACAGTGGCTGTGTCATCCACAGTAAAGACAAAAGAATTAAAGCTGAGAAAACTTCGAACCTAGTTGAGAAGGTTTTCAACAGAGAGACTGACCGCATGTGCTTTGTTCCTAGATTAACGTGGAATAGTTTTAAATTTCAGTGGGGTCAAATGCCGCCTCGTCTCTTTAAATGCACTATTTGAATTATTATTTTTAATTTAGGTCTTTGGTTTGTTGAATTTTGACTTTTCTTGTCACGTTTGACCAGGTGTTCGCCTTATATTGTGCCATCTGTTTCTTTGACACTAATCAAGTATTAAATATAATGTAAAAGCAGTCGAAGTATGTGTTTTCATTCGTAAGACATTCCGAAAGCTTCTGGGTTATACATGGAAACATAACTCCCTTTCTGAATGATTTCGACACATTTCGCATCACTAATGCCGTGAGACATTTCGTCAGTGCGCCTGAGAGGCAACTTGTGCACCTTGATGACCAACGGGGACATGAGTTAGCCGAGCTTCAGTATGAGGGTCATGGAGGAGAACACGGACTGGGCAAGCGCAGGCAGTCGGCTTAGACAAAAGACGCATAGACAGGGGTACTCCACTCTTTGTCTCAATCGATGACGGTAGAGAAAATACGCATAGGGTAAAGTGCTGAACATGGATCCGGGCACCAATCATGGATCATTTTGTCGGCAAGCTGATGCCGCCAACCAATCGACCATTTTTTTTTCCTTTTTCGAAGTTTTTGATGGGGTCTGCACTTTTGGCTGATAGAAACACGGTTGGGGGAGCTGATCACTTGTACCGTTACACAATATGCAAACAGAAAAGTGCCGCAAGTGCCAAAAGAGGGTGCGAAGACGGCCTGAATTCCGGCAATTCAGGGGTCACAATCCGAAGCGATATTGCAAAGAATCTGTTCATCAGAAATGTTTTAATTTTTTATCACGGCATCTTAAGAACTTACACTTTCATAAATTAAAGGACCGGAAGATATTGGAAGGCCCTTGTCAAATCGCGAGAGGGAGGGGTCCATTATCGAGTCCAACTCAAATATGGATCACTGAATTCAATGACATTTCAAAGCCCTGTAGATTTCGAAGTATTTGACAATAACTGTTCAGTTCTTGAGAAAAGGTTTTGTTTGTTGTTCTCTCGGAGTGAACCGAATAAATTTAGGCCACCGCTTTGGAAAGTTATCCATGTTGTGTAACCTTACCCCAAGACGGGGGTACACCGCTCCTTGTCTCAACCGTTGAGGGGGCAGTCTCGTCCCTGTACCCTTTCTAGGGGGTAGGGATTTAAAGCCTCGTAATATTACCCGCAATATTGGTAAGAAATATTGTAACTTACCGTACACTCTTAAAAAAGTTATGAAATTTAATATCGAAAAGAGTATGACTTTTCATAAACACGTTCTAAAAGTCATCTTTCATAAAACTGTTCTGAAAATTAAGACAGCGAAATGAAATTTAAGATTTTGGCTCTGAAATTTCAGAAACATAGTTATGAAAGTTCAGAACGAGATACTTTCAGAAGAGGCGTTATGAAAATTCAGATTGTCTTTTTAAAACTTCAGAATGGTTCTCATATCATAGCAATGCCTCTCACATTCTCAACACATGTCAAAAGCTTGGCTGGGAAATAAAATTGTACAAGAGCTTTTGAAGTTACCTAGAGGCAAAAACTCCGGGAATTTTGGGTAATAAAAACAAAGCAAAATGCACTTAAAACTAGTAATTTCTATCAAAAACGTCGAGTTTTTTCACTAAAGTCGCTCAACTTAGACTTCCTAATACCCCGCAAAGGTTTTTTGAATGATTTGAGCTGGCTGAAGGTTCTGACTACCTTCTGTCAAAATGACTTCAAGAGGCAAGGGCACGAAATGACCAGCTCTGTGACAACGCTTTTTCTGGTTTTCGTACATTTTCTCCAAACCTGTCCAAACCTTGCAAACCTCTTCCAAGTCAGCCTTCCAGTACCAGCCTAGAATATCTAGTAAATTGTACTAAGATGGTTTATACCAAAGCTACCCCTTAAAACTCATCTTTTTTCAATATTACCAAAAATACCGTGATAATACGGAATAATACCAATCTTACCGTATCTTACGGTAAGGGTTTTTTAATACCGGTCTCTTTTGATAACGTTGATCTTTTTTAAGATACCTCGTAGGGACAAACGGTAAAAACCAAGTAAAAGTACGGAATTTTTTCAACATTTTCAAACAAAAAATTCATCTTTTGTCTTTAGTTGTAAGGGAGTCATAGGGAATGCAACAAAAGCCGACAAACCATACAAAATTTCACTGCACGACACTTTCCTCCGGAAGTTCTGAACTTTTTGGCATACGGTTTGCGGCATCTCGAAGATGAAAACATCCTGTTTACTTTCCCCTACAATCGTCCGTCCATGTTGCCCAAGGGGAACCTTAATTAAAACCACATTGAAGTTTGTTCAAGTTTTTGGTAACGTTTTAAAGAAATGTTTTCCTTGGGCTTCATGGACGATCGTACGGTAAAGTAAAGAGGATTTTTTTTATCTTCAAGATGCCGCAAACCGATTGCCACAAAGTTAAGAACTTACGGAGAAAAGTGTCGCGCAGTCAAATTTTGTATGTTTTGAAGGCTTTTGCTGCATTCTCTGTAATTTCCTTACAACTGAAGACACAACCAATTTTTTTTGACAATGTTGTCAAAATTCCTTTCTTTCATCTGGTTTTTACCGTTTGGCTCTAAGAGGTTTATAAAATCATTGTCATCAAAAGAGGGGGAAACCCCTTAAAAAAGAGTACAGGGGCATGGGCGAGACTGCCCCCTTAGAGAGGGCGAGCATGCGGTAGTGAAATGGAAGGTCGGACAGAGGTCGAAAAAGATCCTGAAAGGTCCTTGAGGCTTCTTAGCCGGAACCCATGTTCGACGGAGACCGTGCACCTCGCGGGTCCTCGTGAGGAAAGTAAGCCGATGTGAACGGAAATTGTGTCGTCCATTTAATTCTCTGCATTCCAAATTGCGTAGCTTTCATTAGCGTACTCGAGCTCCTCACTGGTCGACGCGAAACAGAATCTGGCCGCAAACGGGAGGAAAAATTACGAAAGCGGTCCACCAGAAGCTGAGCGCATGCGTAACTATCCACCCGGCTTTGCTTCGTATATCTGCCGCCTGTGGGTGTGCGTCAACAGTTTCATGGCACCTTATTTCGTTCTTACTTGTGTTTGTGCATTAATCGAAGGGCCCTTTCTCACCTTCTTTCCTGCCAGGAAGCCCGGGGCGGCGTGCACGAGCAGCAACCAGCGCAGCAGCGTCAAGGGACCAACAACCGGCACGAGACTACCGAAGAAGGACCGGAACCATCGAGGAGGGAACACTCGGACGACGCGCCCACCAGTCAGTAACTTCAAATCTTCGACCACAAACTTCACTGCGAGGTTAGTACGACTTCAGAACCACAAGTTCCGTCAAATGTGACGCCAGCAGTAGGGCACTTCAAAGTAGGTCTGGACTGGACACTCATTTACAATGAGCTTGTTGCGAGGCGTTACGGTCCCTTTGTCGTTCAATAGGGTCAATTTTAAGTTTTTCTACACTGCAAGAAAAAGTACGGAACATGTCTGGTCAACAATTTGCCTGGACTCCGTACCTGTCATACTACGGAACTTCTGTACTATTTTTCCGTACCCGATTACATGAGTTCTTATGGGACAAGTACGGACGTTCCATACTCTATTCCGTACTTCCGTACCATATTCGTCTGTACATTTTCTGTACTTAAGTACGGAATTTTTGAGTGTAGTGCCCAAATACTTGATGATACTGTGGCGCATGGCGATATACGAATAATCTTGTGTGTTTTCGGTACAGGCCTCCCATGAAGTACCCTATGTAGGGGTAGGTTGGGGAAGAAAAGTACAAAACGTGTACTTTGCACTGTACAGAAGTTCCAAATGAGGATTCAACTATTCTGCTCTCGTGAACATGTAATCCAATGCCTTCCTAATGAAATGAATGACTGTTCGTTGATTATAGTTCCCCACATTACGTGCATCATGCCAAAATGTATGTAATTTCGGAACTCCTCGAAAAGGGTAAGAAAAGTACACCACCGGGAAAGAAAAGTACAACGAAAAGAATTGCGAGTTCGAACCAGGAGTCCACCAACCTTGGCTCAATACATGTTTACCCCTAAAGTGGAGAGCTTTCACTTGCCATTAGTTCAAGTTTCGTCAAAATCGGTCAATTGGTTCTGATTCTACATGGACTCATCACAGAAGGTCCAAGAAGCCTTTTCTCAGAGATAAGTGAGTACAGCATTTTTGTACTTTTCTTCCCCTTTTCACGAAAATGCCCAATAACTTGTTTATTTCGAGACTAATTCTATAACTTGTGTTGACATTTTTTTGCTTGTCTCGCCTAATCAAATCTATTTCCGTGATGAATTCAATTTTCATCCCGCTATTAGTTTCTTAGAGGGTGTTCTTTTCTTCCCCAATACCTGTACTTTTCTTCTCCGGCCGACTGTACTTTTCTTCCCCATTTCTTTTTTACACTTAAAAAAAATTGTGTTGAAGCCTAAGGGCATCGAACGGCACTGTTTTTCAAAGATGATGGTCTAAGCTATAAGGTGGTACCTTACATTGGACTGTCGGCGATTCTGCAGGAAGCTGTACTTCAAAGTACAAACATTAAAAAAAAAGATTTTCATAGTTATTTTTACTGTGTTTTTCAAACGTGCAGTTTGATTCTAAATATTATATGTAGAACTGGGCTAAATTTATTTTTTGTCAGCGGGATGACCAATCTTTCTAAAACCACTAACGTGATGGTTCAGTGTATTTTCAGTTCAGACATATAACGGGTGTACTTTTCTTACCCGAGCTTCGAGTGTACTTTTCTTACCCAACCTACCCCTAGCACTTAAATCATGTGTGGTGTATGCCTCATTTGGCGTAACATAATGCCTCAGCCTTTAAGACTAAGCGTAACATCAAGTTAGAATACTTTTCCTTAATCAAGTGGAGTAGCTGGTCAACTTTATCTACTTTCTCTTTCTTTCGTCTTGCCTCCGACCCAAGTTTTCTTACAAGAAAAAAAACTGCTAGTGCAATAGGGTACTTTCGTGGATCCCTGAACCGGAAGCACACAGACGCCATGTTGGCGGAAGTAGATCCAAACTTGACATGGGAAAGAGACGTTAGTCAAACGTATCGGCCACACTTGAACATAAACAGTCGTTTAATACTTGTTTGCAGTGCATATGTGTTTCGCGAGCAATATTTTTACAGCTCGGCTATAGTTTTAGATCCGAAGAGAGGTTAGTTTCCGGCCAATTTGGCGTCTGGTGGTCTGCTTGCTTCCGGTTTCAGGATCTACGAAAGTACCCTATTGATCTCTTTTTTTTAAATTTTGGTATGTGTTCTGAGCGTATTTAGAGTCCCGCTTAGATATCCTTAAGGTGGGAAATACCCAATATTGAAGCCCCCTTTTTTTAAAGTTCCTAGTTTTCATTGAAAACTCTTTCGTACCAAAAGGAGTTTAATTTTGTCCTGTAATGTGGGCCTTATAGATTTCAAATTCAGCCAGACATTTAACCCAAGTACCCTATGAGTGTAGAAAACTTCGGCCAAAAAACAACGCTGCCAACCTTCGGTGCGCACGTTTTCTCGAAAAGTAATTGATCTCCAGGTCCAGGTATTCTGTGCAGGATACTTGACACACATATCTAGTTCACACCGTCGCCCCTTTTTGAAAGTGAGTTCCAGTTTTTTGTAAATAAGGCTGAAAAGTGAAAATAGAGAGTCAATACTTGATTTTTTGCACTTTTGTGCCTTATTTACAAAAAACTCGAACTCACTTTCAAAAAAGGGCGACGGTGCGAACTAGATATATGTGTCAAGTATCCTGTACAGAATACCTGGACCTGGAGATCAATTACTTTTCGAGAAAACGTGCGCACCGAAGGTTGGCAGCGTTGTTTTTTGGCCGAAGTTTTCTACACTCATAGGGTACTTGGGTTAAATGTCTGGCTGAATTTGGAATCTATAAGGAACACATTACAAGACAAAATTGACCTCCTTAAGGTAGGAAAGAGTTTTCAATGAAAACTAGGCACTTTAAAAAAAAGAGGCTTCAATGGGTGTTTTTCACCTTTAATCAAACCCGGAAATTCTCTGATAGCGTGTGTTCATAGACTTCCGAGTTTCAAATATGTGACTGATTAACATGAAATTTACCTCGTGGCTACTTTAAATTCTTCGTAGGCTTCGCGCACGACTTATCTGCAAATCTGGTGCCAGTTTACTTGTCTAAAAATTCGATAGCCGCTTTGATTGTCTATAATTTGAAACCCTGGCCTCGGTATACACCTCAGCTTGCCGTTAAGTAGCGAGCAAATGAGGATATCGGGTCAGTTCTTGACATTGAACATAACTTGCCAATTTTCTGGTCAAGCTAAGTTGCCACAGGCTTTGCAGTGTTCTTGAAATCTCACCCACGCGATCTGCTTTGACGTTTCTAACAGCGTGTGGTCCGGCACGTTCAGTGTAAAGCCACCGTGACGTCCAATTAACATTTCAGTTGTTCGCTATAGAACAACGATTAGCCGTTGCAAATGTCTTCTATTGGATCCGCTTTTCCGTTTTGCATTTCTACCCATTGTGTTTAGTTAGGATATGATCGTTTTGAAATAAATGGAAAAATTCTTTTATTTTGTTTGCAGTGCCTTTCAACGCGCGTGACACGAAACCAACATCATGGCTGTGAATTCTTGGGAATATCTCGACTGCATCAAGACGTTCAGTAAAAAATCGATCCTTTCACGTCGTCGTCGAGTCCATCAGATGGATGGGCAGTTCGAGTGCACAGTTTGCACAAGAAAGTTCACTCGGAGAGATAATCTAAATAGACATATCAGACAACATACAGGGGAGAAGCCTTTCGAGTGCGCAGTTTGCTTTAAGAAGTTCAGTGAAACTGATAAACTCCGAATTCATCTTAGGATTCATACAGGGGAGAAGCCATTTGAGTGCGCAGTTTGCAACAAGAAGTTCAATCAAGCTAGTCACCTTCGAACTCATCATAGAATCCATACAGGGGAGAGGCCTTTCGAGTGCGCACTTTGTAATAAGAAGTTCAGTGAAACTGGCTCACTCCGAATTCATCTTAGAACCCATACAGGGGAGAAGCCCTACGAGTGCACAGTTTGCAACAAGACGTTCAATCGAGCTGATCACCTTCGATCTCATGTTAAAACTCATACTGGGGAGAAGCCATTCGAGTGCACAGTCTGCGAAAGGAAGTTATGTAGTGCAAGTAGTCTCCGAAGTCATCTTAACACCCACACAGGAGAGAAGCCTTACGACTGCTCAGTTTGCAAAAAGATGTTTAGGTCTACACAAAGTCTCCGAGCTCATCTTAAAATCCACACAGGGGAGAAGCCATACGAGTGCTCAGTTTGCAAAAAGATGTTTAGGTCTACTCAAAGTCTCCGAGCTCATCTCAAAATCCACACAGGGGAGAAGCCATACGAGTGCTCAGTTTGCAACAAGATGTTTCGTCAAGCAAGTGATCTTCGAAAACATCTTAGAACCCACACAGGAGAGAGGCCTTTCGAGTGTACAGTTTGCAGTAAGAAGTTTGGTCAAGTAGCCACTCTCAAAACTCATCTTAAAACCCACACATCGAAGGAATAAGAAGCAGAATGAAGCAGATGTCCTTTCGAAACAACGCTGGACTCACAGTGGCTGTTTTAGCTATCTACAGTGAAGACGAAGAATTCAAGCTGAGAGAACTTCGAACGTGGTTGAAAAATGGAAACTGACCTGTGCTTATCCCCTTATTTAAAGTGCATTAGTTTGAAGTGCCAGTGGGGTAAAATGCCACACACATTAATTGCACGTTTTAAAATGTTCTACCCTACAATTTAGGTGTTTGTAGTATCTTGACTTCGCTTGTCACGGTTGACCAGATGTTTGCATAATATTGTGCTCGCTGTTTCCTTCACACCGTAAATAAAAGTTTTAAAAGTGATGCAAATGCAGTCGAAGTTAGTGTTTTATTTTCAAGACATTCTGAAAGCTTTCGGTCTATCCATCGAAAAAGGAGGGGTAAGGTCGTAAAAAAGAACTTCTCCATTCTCGTCAGTTTCATAGGAGTTGTGCAGTTTTTAAAGGATTTGAACACATTTCGCATAACTTCTGATGTGAATTATTTCATCAGTGCCCCGTAGTAAAATTTTGAAAATAAAATCATTGTTAACGGACGGGGACATGCAATGAGAAAACCTGGATACGATTTTAGGCCTTACAAAGAGAGGCAGCTTACAAAAAATAAATTTCGGCATTTAGAAACTGTTTTTTCGTATGACAAAGCAAGTTTGTTACTATGTGTGGTCAACATACTTCGTAAGGTCTTCAGCGTGTGGGCGATTGAGCCGAGCTGGAGTATGACGGTCACAGAAAACAGGGACCGAGCAAGCCATGTGAACGGAAGTTGTGTCGTCCGAAACGACCTCTGCATTTCGAATAGGGAATTCCTGAAATGAGCTGGGACGGAAGTCGAGAAGAAATCAAGAAGATTAAAGGGGGTGGGGGGTAAAGTGAAGAAAATCGATTTTTCGGTTTTTGCTTTTTTTCGACTCTTTGGGCTTTGGTACAACCAAACCTGACCATATTTCGTCCTACAGCACCGTCGAATCGGCATAGGGAGCTTTTAATAATTCGTATAATCACTGTGAGGTTAGGTTAGGTCCTTCAACTTTAAACCAGTTTTTTTTCGGTAACTTTTTTTTGGACCTTGCGCGCAGGATATCTCGGAGACCGTAAGAGGTAGAATGTTGTGCGATAGCTTAAAATGATCATTGTTCAAATAGCTAGAAGACAAGGGAGAGTTTTTGTCAAAAATGTGTCTCAATCTTTAGTAAAAGGTCAATGAATGTCCAAAAGCGGCATAAAAACAGTCATGATTCTAGTTTTCAAGATTAAGACCAAAAGAAAACATCTCTGAGAATGAAAAAGTCACCACTATCGCCCTTTTATTGGGTAACGCACGCACCGTTGCCCAAACTTGGGTGACGAGCTCGCGGTGACCAAATTTTGGGCAGTCATAAAATCGTCGCCCAAATCTGGGTAACGCCGTCGGCGACGCCGTAAGGTCCCCGATGACGCTCTTCCGGGGCCACCACGATGACCCAATGCGGCGTTGAGGCCTCCGGTCATCGTGGTGGCTCCGGAAGGACGCCATCGGGAACCTTACGGCGTCGCCGACGGCGTTACCCAAATTTGGGCGACCAAACGCCTGTTACCAAATTTCGGGTGATGAATTTTTCGTCACCAAAATTTGGGCAACGAAGTTGCATCACCCATTTAAAGGGTGATGGTGGTGACCAATTCATTCTCAGTGATGTTTTTGAAATCCGGCTCCCTTGTCTTCTTCATTTTGACCATAAAAAGATGTTGCAACTTCGTCAGATATTTTAGGACAACATTTGGATTTGAAATCCTGCGCGCAAGGATTAAAACCCAAATATGGACCAAATCTAAAATGTTTGCGAAAATTCAAAGAAGTGCCACCAGACGCGCAACCAAAGAAGGTAAAATGGTAAAAAGGCATGGAGAATCCAATGGTGATGTCCATTTTCATGTGAAGGAGACCAATATGTAAGAAAAGACGGCTGAAAAAAAAAAGAAAAAAAAATTCGAAATTGTACTTTACACCTCCCTTCAGCAATGCGAAATCGAAGAGAAAGAGCATCTGCGTCGTCGTTCTGCCGCTTCCGCAAAGCTCCATTCTTACAAAAGACCGGCTATTGTTCTTGATTTTTTCGTGACTTTCGTCCCAGCGCTCTATTGCGTAGATTTCATTAGTGTACTCGTGCTCCTTACCGGTCGACGAGAAAAACAATCCGCCCTCAAACCGAAGTAAGAATCACGAGAGCAGTCCACCGAAGGTTTAGCACATGCGCCGCTGTCCAAGCGGCTTTGCTTCGCTTGCATCTGCTGCCTGTGTGTCCATCAATAGTTCCATTCCGTCTTACTTCTCTTTGAGGAATCACTCTCCTCCCTGTAAGGAATCCCAGTGTGACGAGCACCAACCAGCGCAGGAGCGTCAAGGCACCAACGGCCGTCACTTAATACCACGGAAGGAGGACCGGAACCATCGAGGAGGAACCCTCGAACACACGACGCGCCCGTCGGAAGGTGCCTTTCTTTGACCACTAATTTCTCAGCGAGGTTAGTGCGACTTCAGAGACATAAGTCCCCTGTAATGTGATGTTCAACACCCGCAGGATGGTGTTTCAGAGAAGGTCTTGCCCGCAAGTCAGGAGATCTTGGCTGGAAATTCATTTACATCGAGCTAATTCGGAGGCGTAACGGGCCTCTCTGGTGTACAACAACCAGGTCAATTTTAGGCAATGTCAGTGCTATATCACGTACAGATACCATGTTTTTCTGTTAGTGCAGTTCCTGGTTTCCGCTTTATGCATTCTCTCAATTACCCTAGTTTCGCACGTTGAAGCGTGGGTGGTGTATGCCTCTCTTGGCGTAACGCGATGTTTTAGCCTTAAGTTGTTCTTAACGAATAACCTTGCGCGAGTCGAAGTGAAGTTGGACGATTTATTATACTACCGAGGAGTACGTCCAGACCGAAAGACAAGAACTGCAACCCGGTTTTCCAGTGTACACAACTGCTGCCTGAGGGTGCGCGTCAACAGTTTCATGGCACCTTGCTCCCGTCTCCCTTTAATTTGAAAATCAGTCGAGTATACCCTTTCTGACATTCGTGTTCTGTCAGGAATCCCGGCGTGGCAAGCATGAGCCCGAATCAACCAGCGGAGAAGCGTAAAGGGACCAACAGCCGGCACGAGACTCTACCGAAGCAGGACCGGAATCATCGAGGAGGGAACACTGGGACACACGACGCGCCCATCGGAAGCCTCGAATCTTCGACCTCAAACTTTGCAGCGAGGTTAGTACGACTTCAGAATCGTAAATTCCGAAGCATGTGATGTTCAATGCTAGCAGTCGGGCACTTCAGAGTAGGTCTTGACTTTGGTGAGTTTATTTCGATGCGAAACGGTTCCTTTGTCGTGCAATAGGGCCATTTCCAAGTATTCTTGTGCCAACATACTTCATGATACTGTTGCGCATGGCGATAAGCACATTGTCTTGTAGGTTTCCGGTATAGGCCTCCTCTTGAGCAGGGTGCGAAAACTTAACGTAACCGGTAACTTAACGGAAATTCGGAAGATACCATCATTGCCGTTATTTTAATTTTGTTAGTTAATGTTAGTAACAAATATAACATACGATTGAAACATTACCGATAAAATTATACCCACATCTAATCAGGTAGATTAACAACGGTTAATAGCTATTAACGGTTATACAGAATAACGATTATTGAAATTAACCTTAATCATTGGAGAACCATTAATAAAGTTAATTGTGGCCCATCGGTTTTTGGTTGCAGTTCATATCAATAATCGCAAAACCGTTCCGATTTAACGTTATTTTTTATATTACACGATGCGCTTCTTTTCTCCTTCCGCTGCGCTGCGCCTGGGCGTACGGCTTGATAAGTGCCGCTAGAGTCGTATAGACCCCTTTGGGGCCCCCAGAGGAGACTTTAGGACTCGAAGCGCCGAATTATCGTGGACGCGATTTCTTATAGCTCGGCGAGGATAGCCGTCTAGCCTTGCTTCGCTTGCCCGCTATGATAACGATAAAACAAATTATTGTTATTAATATGAAATGTAACCGTTAATTTTGCTACAGGATTATCGTTACTAAGGAATAACCGTTATTTTGCTAAACCAAAACGAGTTGTACTACTCAAAATGTGATCTTTTATACCGTTTAAATGTTTATCCACAGTTATTGTTACTGTGAATTAACGTTAATTCTTTTACAAATGTTTGCGGTTATTGGTTGTACCTTTAATAAATAACAAAAGCGTTATTTCCGTTATTTTGGTTAAGTTATCACACTCTGCTCTTGAGATCCCTGTGTAAGCAATTTAGAGCATGTGTGGTGAATGCCTCATCTGGCGTAACACGATGCTTCAGCCTTTACGACTAAGCGTAACATTAAGTTTGAAGACTCTTCCTTAAACCAGTGAAGTAGGTGGTAAATTTTATCGACTTCCTGTTTCTCTCGTTTTGTCTCCGGTCCAAGCTTTCTTTAAAAACAAATAAAAGAAAATTCAGAGTCCCGCTTAGATAGTCTTAAATCAAACCTGGAAATTCTCTGATAGCGCGTGTTCGTATTTTTACCTTTTAATACCTGCCTAAGCCTATATTCTTAGGAGCATGGCTGTGATATGCCTCTCTTGGCGTAACGCGATGTTTTAGCCTTACGTAGTTCCTATCGGATAACCTTAGGCAAGTCAAAGTGAAGTTCGACGGTTTATTGTATGATCACGGAGTACGTTCAGACCGGAAGACAGGAACTGCCTCAAGGCTTTCGTTCTTCCACTGTGGCTAAAAGCTACGGAAATTTTGTAAACAGCTTGTGGTAATGGACACTTCTAGCACGGCCTTAAGTGAAGAAGAAGAAGAAGAATATAGACCGGAAACAGTACAAGAAATCGGCCTTTTTCGGGGCTTTTGGCAGGCTTAAATCAAATTGTATTATAATATTTAGCTTCCTTGAATTTTTGGATTGAGAATTAACATTCGTCATCAAGAAATAAGCGTAATTTGTCAACTGTTTCTGGCTTATGTTCTTCTTGTTCTTCACTCCAGGCCCTGCTAGAAGTGTCTATTCCCCGTAGCCCCACTGTGAGAAAAAAGTACGGAAAAAGTACAGAACATGTCTGGTCAATAATTTGCCTGGACCGTCCGTACTTGCCAACTACGGAACGTTCCGTACCGAGGGGGTGTGCACTCGCGTAATAGTCGGTTCACTCTATCTGTAATAGCACGCGTAATAATACGCGTAATAGTCGCGTAATAGCCGAAATTGTCAAAATTTTATCAATTTTGGTGTGTTTTAAGCCGTTTTTAACTAAATTCCGATTAATTTGTGGCGTAACAGAGCGTAATAGCGTAATAGTCGGTACACAGGTTCAGAGAGTGCATACCCCCTCGTTCCGTACTGTTTTTCCGTACCCATTTACATGGGTTCATATGGAGCAGGTACGGAACGTTCCGTACTTTTCTCCGTACCTCCGTACTATATTTTTCTGTACCATTTCCGTACAAAAGTACGGAATTTTTTACAGTGCCCCTTGTCAGTATTCTCTGTAGGCTCTTACAGTATTTTCCTTAGGACCGCACAGTATTCTCCGCAGGACCTTACAGTGTTCTCCGTAGGACTTATACAGTCTTCCAGGCCCTACGGAGAATGCTGTAAGAGCCTACGGAGAATATTAACAAGAGGGATACGGAGAATCCTAGCAAAAAAAATCAAGAAGTAAAGAAAGCTATAAACACAAAGTGCTGTATAATATCAATCAATTGATATTAAGATGAAAGGACGAAAGGACTCGTTCTTTACTATACAAATGAAAAGTGGATTGTAAATGATCTACATCACCTCGCTTATCCGGCCCCTGTTCAATGTGTTCAGAGAGGCTCTGCTGCAAATTGTGTTTTAAATTCCGCGCACCCGCTCCGGCACCCCCGGAGCTGGCGCGCGGAATGGCCTGCCGAAGTCCAGCCGAAGCTCATTCAACACGATCTTTAACCTGATATTTCTCCGAATTTATCATTGTGCGCATGTTTTATATTAACTGAATACAGGAGTTCATGTTCGTAATGGTTAATTTAAGGGTACCATTATTGGTGAAAAGATATAAGAAGGTTGAAATGAGGTTAGTTTTGACACCGGCCCCGAAATCTCGTTTTTAACATGTTCGTTCTCTCAACATTTTCCATTGAAAGTCGAAAAACAATCTGTTTACGATTTACTGACGGACTTCTGCACTTCAAAATGATACCATTGTCTTTTCTGTACATGTTGTAAGTTCTGAGATAAATGATATCCTCCCAAAAAAAAATTTTTGAGCACAATACTCGTTCTCTTTACTGTACCACTTTTCATTTGTTTGTGTGTAAAGAACGAGTAAAAATTAACAGAATTTTCTGTACCTTTTTGCCAAAGTGGATCTATAACTGCTGCCAGTGGGTGTGCGTCAACAATTTCATGCCACCTTGCTCCCGTCTTACTTTTGTTTGAGAATTAGTTTAAGTACTCTTTTCGACATTCGTTTTCTGACAGGAATCTCGGCGTGGCGATTACCAGCGCAGGAGCGTCAAGGAACCAACAGCCGGCACGAGACTCCACCGAAGACGGATCGGAACCATCGAGGAGGGAACACTCGGACGACGCGCCCATCGGGAGCCTCGATTCTTCGACCTCAAACTTCGCAGCGAGGTTAGTACGACTTCAGTACCACAAGTTTCGTCGAATGTGACGTTCAACGCTAGCAGTAGGGCACTTCAGAGTAGGTTTGGAGCGGACACCCATTTCCAGTGAGCTTATTTCGAGTTGTAACGGTGCCTTTGCCGTTCAATAGAATAAATTTCAAGTAATTCTGGTGCCAAAATACGTTGAGATACTGTTCCGCTTGGCGATGAACACATTATCTTGAGTGCCTTTAAGACTTAGCGTAACTTCAAGTTTCAAGACTTTTCCTGACACAAGTGAAGAGTCCCGCCTAGATACCCTCGAATCAAATCCGGAAATGATCTCATAGCGCCATTTCACATTTCGTAACATTTCGAACTCGCGATGTTATCTTTTATATCCTGCCTAACCCTTTATTCTTTATGTCAGTAGGGAAATTTTACAAATTCCTGGACCAGAAGTCGACTGCTGGTCCTTAGTAAGAACTTGAACCGCTTCTGCGCATGCGCAGACGTCCCCCCTCCACTCTGAGGCAGAGTCTGCACACACGCAGGAGCGGTTTTAGTTCTCACTTCAGTACTTTGACTTCCCCGTCTAAGAATGTTTCAGACATGTTATTGATTCTACATGAACTTTTCCTCGTGGCTACTTTTAAATCTTCGTAGGATTCGTGCACGACTTATCTGCAAATCTGGTGGCTCAAAATCAGAAAGCCTAGCCTCTGTTTACTCCTCAGCTTGCCGAAAACTGGCGAGCAAATGAGGATATCGGGTCAATTTTTGACATTAAAAACAACTTGTCAATTTTCTGGCAAGCCAAGTTGCCGCCGGCTTTGCAGTGTTCTTCAAATCTCAGACGCGTTCTGAATTGGCGCTTGTAACAGCGTGTGGTCCGGCACGTCCAATGTACACCGTCCGTGACGTCGAGAGAACATTTCAGTTTTTTGCTGTAAAGCAATTTTTAGCCGTCGCAACTGTCTTCTGTTAAGCGCGAATAAAACGTTAATAGTCAAGTACCGACCATTGGATCCGCTTTTCCGTTTGACATTTCTACCCATTGCTTTTAGTTAAGATATTATCGTTTTAAAATAAATCAAAAGTTTCTTTTATTTTGTTTGCAGTGTCTTTCAACGCGCGCGACACGAAACCGAAAGCATGGCGGGGAATTCTTGGGAATGTCACGACTGCAACAAGACGTTCAGTAAAAAATCGACCCTTTCACATCATCGTCGAATCCATCAGATGGATGGGCTGTTCGAGTGCACAGTTTGCACCAAGAAGTTCACTCGAAGAGATCACCTAAATAGACATATCAGAGTACATACAGGGGAGAAGCCTTTCGAGTGCGCAGTTTGCAACAAGAAGTTCAATCAAGCTAGTAACCTTCTATCTCATCTTAGAACTCATACCTGGGAGAAGCCATTCGAGTGCACAGTCTGCAACAAGAAGTTTAGTTCCACACAAGGTCTCCGAAATCATCTTGGAAACCATACAGGGGAGAAGCTTTTCGCGTGCGCAGATTGCAACAGGAAGTTCAATCATGCTGGTAACCTTCGATCTCATCTTAGAACCCATACAGGGCAGAAGCCTTTCGAGTGCGCAGTTTGCAATAAGAAGTTCAATCATGCTGGTAACCTTCGGACTCATCTAAGAACCCATACAGGGGAGAAGCCTTTCGAGTGCACAGTTTGCAATAAAAGATTCAATGAAACTGGCTCACTCCGAAAGCATCTTCGAACCCACACTGGAGAGAAGCCGTTCGAGTGCACAGTTTGCAACAAGAAGTTCAGTGAAACTGGCTCACTCCAAATTCATCTTCGAACCCATACTGGGGAGAAGCCATTCGAGTGCACAGTTTGCAACAAGACGTTCAATCAAGCTGTTAATCTTCGATCACATCTTCGAACCCATACAGGGGAGAAGCCAGCGGAGTGCACAGTGTGCAACAAGAAGTTGAGTAGTTTACAAAGTCTCGGATCTCATCTAAATACCCACACAGGGGCGAAGCCTTTTGAGTGCTCAGTTTGCAACAAGAAGTTTAGATCTGCACCAGGTCTCCGAAGACATCTTAAAACCCATACAGGGGAGAGACCATACGAGTGCTCAGTTTGCAACAAGATGTTCGGTCAAGCTGGTCACCTTCGAAATCATCTTAGAACCCACACAGGAGAGAGGCCTTTAAGTTTAGGCAAGAAGCCACTCTCAAAACTCACCTGAAAACCCACACATCTCAGGAAAAAGAAGCGCAATGAAGCAATAGTCTTTTCGAATTGTCTCTGAACTCACAGTGGCTGTTTCATCCACAGTAAAGACAAAGAATTCAAGCTGAGAGAACTTCGAACGTGGTTGAAAAACAGAGAGGGTGACCAAAAGTGCTTTTCTCCTTATTTGTAGTGCATTAGTTTTAAGTGCCAGTGGGTTAAATGCCACACTATTTTCTTAACTGGACGTTTTTAAAATGTTCTTCAATTGAGGTATTTGTAGTGTCTTGACTTCACTTGTCACGTTTGACAAGGTGTTTTCCTTATATGGTGCCCTTTGTTTCCTTAACACTGTAAATAAAAGTATTAAAAGTGTTGCAAATGCAGTCGAAGCTAGTGTTTTATTTTCAAGACATTCTGAAAGCTTCCATTATATCCATGGAAAAAGGAAGGGTAAGGTCTTGAAACGGAACATCAACATTCTCGTCAGTTTTATGGGAGTTATGCAGTTTCTTAAGGATTTGAACACATTTCGCATTACTTACGACGTGATATATTTATTCAGTGCGCCAGAGTAAAATTTCGCTAAGATCCTGGTCAACGGACGTGGTCGTGGTCATGCACTGGAAAAACCTTGATACGATTTTAGGCCTCACATATAAAGGCAGCTTGTAAAAAGAAAGTATTTTGGGCAGTCATAAGCTTACAAAAAATTAATTTCGTCATTTAGGAACTATTTCTTCGTATAACAAAGGAAATTAGTTTGTACTATGTGTTGTCAAAATACTTCGGAAGGTCTTAAGCGTGTGGGCGATTGAGCCGAGCTGGGGTATGAGGGTCATAGAAAACAGGGACCGGGCAAGCCAATGCAGTTGTGAACGGAAATTGTGTCGTCCGAAACGACCTCAGCATTTCGAACAGGGAATTCCGGAAATGAGCTAGAACGGAAGTCAAGAAGAAATTAAGAAGAACAAAGGATACGAAATCGTACAGAAAGAGCGTGTGCGTCGTCGTTCTGCCGCTTCCGCAGAGCTACATTCTTACAGTTGTTCTTGATTTTTTCGTGCCTTTCGTCCGAAGTGCTCTATTGCGTAAATTTCACTAGTGTACTCGTGCTCCTTACCGGTCGACGCGAAAAGCAATCCGTCCTCAAACCGAAGTAAAAATCACGAGAGCGGTCCACCGAAGGTTGAGCGCATGCGCCGCTGTCCAAGCGGCTTTGCTTCGCTTGCATCTGCTGCCTGTGTGTGCATCAATAGTTTCATTCCGTCTTACTTCTCTTTGAGAAATCATTCTTCTTCCTCTTAGGAATCCCAGTGTGGCGAGCTCCAACCAGCGCAGGAGCGTCTGAGCACCAACGGCCGTCACTACACTACAAATCCAAAGGTCAGACTTCTCGCCACTCCAGAGGCAAGACATAAAAGTCTCGCCAAGATTTGGTCAGACCTGAAAGTCTCGCGAAAATTTGGTCAGACAAAAGAGTCTCGCCACAAAACGGTCATACACAAAAGTCTGACCCCAAAATGGCGAGACTTTCGTCTCTAACCGCTACCTAGAGACCGTAATGCGCGGGACGGTTACGGCCTAAAGGCCGTGGTCAGGCACAAGAGTCTCGGCATTTTGGGGTCAGACTTTTGTGTATGACCGTTTTGTGGCGAGACTTTCAGGTCTGACCAAATCTTGGCGAGACTTTAATGTCTCGCCATATTTTGGCGTGAAGTCTTTCCATCCGAATTCCAGTGTAGAGACCACGGAAGGAGGACCGGAACCATCGAGGAGGAACCCTCGGACACACGACGCGCCCGTCGGAAGCTTCCAATCTTGGACCACTCATTTCTCAGCGAGGTTAGTGCGACTTCAGAGACGTAAGTCCCGTATGATGTGATGTCCAACACCCGCAGGAGGGTGTTTTAGAGAAGGTCTGGTCCGGAAGTCAAGAGATCTTGGCCGGGAATTCATTTACAACGAGCTGATTCGGAGGCGTAACGGGCCCCTCTGGTGTACAATTAGGTCAATTTTAGGCATTTTCAGTGCTAAATCACGTACAGATACCATGTTTTTCTGTTAGTGCAGCTCTTGGTTTCCGCTTTATGTATTCTCTCAATTACCCTAGTTTCGCACGTTGAAGCATGGGGCCTCTCTTGGCGTAACGCGATGTTTTCTCCTTAAGTTGTTTCTAACGAATAACCTTGCTCGAGTCGAAGTGAAGTTAGACGATTTATTATACTACCGAGGAGTATGTCCAGACCGAAAGACAAGAACGGCAACCCGGTTTTCCTGTGTATTCAACTGCTGCCTGAGGGTGCGCGTCAACAGTTTCACGGCACCTTGCTCCCGTCTCAATTAAGTTTGAAAATTAGTCGAAGTACTCTTTCTGACATTCGTGTTCTGACAGGAATCCCGGCGTGGGGAGCACGAGCCCCAATCAACCAGCGCAGGAGCGTCGAAGGACCAACAGCCGGAACGAGACTCCACCGAAGCAGGACCGGAACCATCGAGGAGGGAACACTGGGACACACACGACGCGCCCGTCGGAAGCCTCGAATCTTCGACCCCAAACTTTGCAGCGAGGTTAGTACGACTTCAGATACTTCAATTCCGAAGCATGTGACGTTCAATGCTAGCAGTAGGGCACTTCAGAGTAGGTCTTGACTTTGGTGAGTTTATTTCGATGCGTACGGTCCCTTTGTCGTACAATAGGGTCATTTTCAAGTATTTCTTGTGCCAAAACACTTCTTGATACTGTGGCGCATGGCGATAAGCACATTGCCTTGTGAGTTTCCGGTACAGGCCTCCTCTGGAGATCCCTTTGAAAGCAATTTAGAACATGTGTGGTGATTGCCGTATCTCGCGTAACACGATGCTTCAGCCTTTAAGACTAAGTATAACATTAAGTGTGAAGACCTTTCTTTAAACCAGTGAAGTAGCTGATTTTATCGACTTCCTGTTTCTCACGTCTTGCCTCCAGTCCAAGCTCTCTTTTTAAAATAAAAAACATTCCAAAAACAGAATTTTGAGTCCCGCTTGGATAGTCTTAAATCCAACCAGGAAATTCTCTGATAGCGCGTGTTCATGTTTTGTGACATTCCGAACTCGCGATGTTACCTGCCTAAACCTATATTCTTTATGTCAATAGGGTATTTCTACGAATCTCGGAACTGGAAGTCCAGAACCGTAGTATGACCTTGAACCGATTCTGCGCGTGCGAAAACGTTCCCCCTCCACTCTGAGGCAGCGTCTTCACACAAGCAGCTGCTGTTTTAGTTCTCACTTTAGTACTTTGAGTTCCGAGTTGAGCAAAGTTTCAAATATGTTGTTGCTTTTACATGAAATTTTCCTCGTGGCTACTTTTAATTCTTCGTAGCCTTCGTGCACGATTGTAGGCTTCGTGCATGACTTATCTGCAAATCTGGTGGCAAGTTTACGTGCATCAAAATTGAAAAGCCGCTTTGATTGTCTACAATTTGAAAGCCCGAGCTCATTATAATTACTCCTCAGCTTGCCGAAAATTGGCAAGAAAATGTGGATATTGGGTCAATTTTTAACATTGAAAACAACTTGCCAATTTTCTGGCAAGCAAAGTTGTCGCAGGCTTTGCAGTGTTCTTGAAATCTCACACGCGTCCTGCATTGACGTTTCTAACAGCGTGTGGTCCGGCACGTCCAATGTAAATTCACAGTGACGTCGAATTAACATTTCAGTTTTTCGCTATAAAGCAATTTTTAGCCGTCGTTACTGCCTTCTATTAAGCGGTAATAAAACGTTAATAGCTAAATACCGACCATTAGATCCGCTGTTCCGTTTGGCATTTCTACCCGTTGCGTTAAGTTAATATATTATCGTTTTAAAATAAATCAAAAGTTTCTTTTATTTTGTTTGCAGTGTCTTTCAACGCGCGGACACGAAACCAAAACATGGCGGGGAATTCTTGGGAATGTCACGACTGCAACAAGACGTTCAGTAAAAAATCGACCCTTTCACGTCATCGTCGAGTCCATCAGATGGATGGGCTGTTCGAGTGCACAGTTTGCACCAAGAAGTTCACTCGGAGAGATCATCTAAATAGACATATCAGAGTACATACAGGGGAGAAGCCTTTCGAGTGCACAGTTTGCTTTAGAGTTCAGTGAACTGTAACTCCGAATCTTAGATCAACAGGGGAGAAGCCATTCGAGTGCACAATTTGCAACAAGAAGTTCAATCAAGCTGTTAACTTTCGACTCATCTTAGAACCCATACAGGGGAGAAGCCATTCGAGTGCACAGTTTGCAATAAGAATTTCAGTACAACTGGTAAACTCCGAATTCATCTTAGAACCCATACAGGGGAGAAGCCTTTCGAGTGCACAGTTTGCAACAAGAAGTTCAGCACAACTGAAAACCTTCGATCTCATCTTCGAACTCATACAGGGGAGAAGCTAGTCGAGTGCACAGTTTGCCAAAGAAAGTTAAGTAGTTCACAAAGTCTCCGATGTCATCTTAATACCCACACAGGGGAGAAGCCTTCGAGTGCACAGTTTGCAATAAGAAGTTTAGTTCTGCACCAGGTCTCCGAATTCATCTTAGAACCCATACAGGGGAGAAGCCTTTCGAGTGCACAGTTTGCAATAAGAAGTTTAACCAGTCTGGCACACTCCGAATTCATCTTCAGAACCCATACAGGGGAGAAGCCTTTCGAGTGCACAGTTTGTAATAAGAAGTTAGTAGTTTACAAAGTCTCCGAATTCATCTTAGAACCCACACAGGGGAGAAGCCTTACGAGTGCGCAGTTTGTAACAAGATGTTTACGTCTACACAAGGTCTCCGAATTCATCTAAGAACCCATACAGGGGAGAAGCCATACGAGTGCTCAGTTTGCAACAAGAAGTTCAGACAAGCTGTTCATCTTCGAAATCATCTTAGAACCCACACAGGAGAGAGGCCTTTCGAGTGTTCAGTTTGCAAAATGAAGTTTGGTCGAGAAGGCCGTCTCAAAACTCACCTGAAAATCCACACATCGGAGGAAAAAGAAGCGCAATGAAGCAGATGTCCTGTCGAAACATGTCTGAACTCACAGTGTCTGTTTCATCCACAGTAAAGACAAAGAACTCAAGCTGAGAAAACTTCGAACCTAGTTCAAAAGCTTTTCAACAGAGGGAGACTGTATGCGCTTTGTCCATATTTTATTGTTTATTAGTTTTAAATTCCAGGGTGCAAATGCTACCTCATTTCTTTAATTGCACCGTTCTAAAATGTTTTTCAATTTAGGTGTTTGGTTTATTGTATCTTGACTTGTCACGTTTGACCAGGCGTTTGCCCAATATGCCCACTGTTTCTTTGATCGACTTCAAAATTATTAAAAGTGATGTATAAGCAGCTGAAGTATGTGTTTTCATTCATTGGGCTTTCTGAAA